AAACTTGAGACATGTACATATAAAATAGTTGCCATAATGTTAATTAGTGCTTCGTGCTCCCTTCCAGTATMAAAAGTTAAACATCTTAATTTCTTTTTTTACATAGTCCATGAAGAAAAAGAAAAGAGCCAAAAAGGAAATAATGAAATGAAGGTATTTTTGAAATGCATTATAAACATGGAACATTATGCCTTATCAATTTTATAAGGAGACATTGTTATAATATATTATAGAAAATTAACTTGAATTGTAGAAGGTTTTTGACCTTAATCAAAAAAGCATCTTTATATATAGGGGATTAAACCTGCAGCCTACTGAGAGATCAATTTCTATGATAACAAAATGATTCTCATTTGTCTGATTTATATTGTGATATCTTCTTACAGTGGACACACATCTATTTGATGAAGACAGTCTTTCAGATGAAAGCTTGCAAGCTGCATCTACCATAGGATCTGAAGGTCAAGAAGAACCAAGGAAATCCAAGCCACCACAGTGTAATAAGGATATACAAAAAGCGAGTGACAGTTGTCAGCAGTTGCCAGTACACAATGTGTYTTCATCAGTCAGAAACGAACCAAGGAMATCCAATCCACCACAGTGTACTAATAAGGATATACAAAAAGCAAATGACAGTTGTCAGCAGTTGCCAGTACACAATGTGTCTTCATCAGTCAGAAACGAACCAAGGAAATCCAATCCATCACAGTGTACTAATAAGGATATACAAAAAGCAAATGACAGTTGTCAGCAGTTGCCAGTACACAATGTGTCTTCATCAGTCAGAAACCAACCAAGGAAATCCAATCCACCACAGTGTAATAAGGACATAGAAACAGCAATCCAGTCACAAGTACATGTAGTAAAAGGGTGTTGTAGCTGTAAAAGAGGAAGCAATTCACAGTTGCCAATATGCAATGTGTCTGCTGAGTACAATAGCCTGCCAGGACCACATGTCCATCCACATGCTTTCCTGCCACAGTGCTTTTTTAGTCGTGGACCATGTTGGTCAGCTCCCAACTATATGCCACCAAGCTATTACCAGCTATCACCTGGCCCAAGCAGTTGTTGYCACCACAAACCTGAACTCATTGGAATTCCTAACGCTGAGCCAGCAAAACCACTGACATCTGCAGCATCACAACCAAAKATGTCACGTGATGAAGCAAGTGGTGACTTCGTAAATGTTGAMAAAGATGTTTATCTTAAAAAGCAAGGTCAGTTGCTTAAATCATTTGAGTAGATACTGATACATGATAATCARCGGCAAATGTTTTGTTTTTAAGTAATAGAATTTCKTTACAGACATTTCTAGTATTGACATCGTGCATAGTGACCTAACATTCCTAGAAGAAATTGGAGCTGGTCAGTTTGGCAAAGTGTATAGAGGGCTATGGAAAGGAATGCAAGTGGCAATTAAAGAAATAAAAACTACAGTTGCATCAGATTTAAAGGAGGTCAAGTTGTGCAGGTGAGGGAAAACTGGTGATTTAAATATGTTCAAAATGAAGTACTAATCTGTTAAAATTTCAATTGATTTTATGTATCAAAAAGCCGTCTGAGACATCCAAATGTGATCATGCTCCTTGGCCATGTGAAGACGGAGAACTCCCTTTTACTGGTTACTAATTACATCAAGGGACAAACCTTAGCCATGGCGTTGGGCCTTCACTCTGGAAATACATACCCAGTAAGTATCTCTTGTTCTTTTGATTTTGCCCTCCAAAAAAGTTAGGAATCTCYTTATTTGACGATTTTATTTGGACAAATCAAACAATTTATGTTTATTGTTACAAAATCGGAAAAACTGCACCAGCTAAGTGTTTTTTTTATTATTTAATTTTCTTTCAACCATGATTTTCATTTGTTCACAAAAAAATAAGAAAATTGCTGAAAACAAGTACTGTACCCCTTTCCAGTTACTTGAAAAGCAGATATACATGCAGTTTTAATTGATTTTTTATTTAACTGAGGAATTTTCATAAATTCAAAACTTTAACTTTAAAAACAATCTGTATAACTAATTAACGATGCCAGGAAAACATTTTAAATATCTCACTGTTTCTTTTTTTGTACATTTTAGATTTTGGATAGCAAGTGGAATGGTTTTGTTTTATTCAATATTTGCCAGGGTATGGCATATATACATGAAAAACAAATAATCCATCAGGATTTAAAGCCAGCCAATATCATGGTATGTTCCATAAATCAACAAGCAGAAATCTACAGTTACCTGTTTCAAAAGTTTATGTGGCTTTCTATGCGTTTGTAGGTTGAATTCCCAAGCCTCAAACCTWTCATATGTGACTTGGGTGTAAGCAAACTGGTAGATTCTACACACGCCACCAACGCAGGAGGGAATCCTGGAAGTATTGCCTACCAACATGAAGAGCAAATGAATGGCATCAAGCCAACACAAGCAGTAGATGTCTACTCCTTTGCAGTTATTATGCTTGAAACCTACTCCCGGATGCCTGTATGGAMGGGCATGTCTGCTGCCCAGGTGACAAGAGCAATAATAATAGACAACACATATCCGAACTATGATTTGCCTAATGTACCAATCAAAGCAAAGGAAATAATTGCTGCGTGCTTTCAAAAAGCCTGTGATAGGCCTTCATTTGTTTCATTACTGCCTGTGTTAGAGCCTCTTCTTGACAATGTAGATATTTGGTAACTATATTACTTTTTCCACCCAGTTCATATTATTATGTTTACCCAGTTTTTTTGATAACGAGGCAGATACATGTAGCTTCACTTTGAAGTTATCGTAAATTATTTTAAGCGTTATTTTCAGTGATCAAAAGATTCGACTAATGTTTCATATGCATTTGGAGCTGATGCAATGTCCACTTGAGTAAATGAGTTTTGAATGACTCTGTCAGCATGTTGTTTGAATGAAAATGGAATATAATCCAAATCCTGAC